AGCATTGCTGGGCAGGAAATCTGGTCGATTCGAGGCCACTGTGTTGTGGAAGATACAGTTTTTTCGATGAAATGCAAATGTACATTACTCTAGTACTCATGCATTTATAGAAATCCTTTTGTAACCATTTCTTCAAATAAGCAGAAAAGCGCCAGTAGTAACCTGTCAGATATTGTAAAAGTTGGCAGAAATGACCCAATAATAATGGGCTTTAGAAGTAAGTGAAAAGTAGTTTACACAGGACCTTACGTTGAGTGTCTCAAATAATACAATAATTATTCAATTGCAAATTAAATTTAAGACACAAACATATTTTGAATTACAATGATTGAAGTTATCTTAAGGAACAATTGTTAGATTCACCGCGATAAAAGCACAACATTGTTATGTGGTACAATAAAAGAGGTCCAAAGCACTTCTCCTTTTAAAGGCTCCCAATCAAGTTGGGAGGCTAATTACATCAGGGACAGTGCAGTAGCAAAGCAGTGGGGACCCTCCAATAGATGGGCTTCACCACAGCTGCCTTGGGAGAAGGACGCTGGAACTTTTACAGCTCACATATCAAGAATCCAAAATCTCATCGAGCCATAATCTGTTACCACCTCTTAGGGGGTAGGGGGGTGACCTCTCTAGGCAGACAGCATTACGGAGCAGTGTAGCGAGTAGGTCTAGAGGAATAAAGAGAAGCTGTCTGGCACAGGTACGCACCACAAACTACTGATTTGATTAGCCAGCAATTCAGAATCTTAGCAGATACAAAGTGGCTCCACAGGGCTGCCGCTGAGATTTTGCCTGTGCCCATGGGTTCCCAAAGGGAGTGTGCACCTGCCATAATACCCTCTACCCAGGTGGAGTCTGCCAGGTTTGAGAAAATGGCCAAAATCTTGCTGGGAGATGCAGGTATTGGCAGAGCTTTCTGGTCAGGAGAAGCATCACAAGCAGTGACCCAGAGCAAAAAAAGAGAAACTGAGAAAGATAGGGGTTGTAGAGAGTGGAGAAGAGAAGGGAATCAAAGAGTAATGAAATGTAGTTTTGTTATAGAAAATATGAAGGTAGCAAAGGTGGCTTGGGAAACCAGATTGATGTTGATGTCATTTATTAAGACATGAAACACAGGGCTTCCCTGGTGGCACAGTGGTTGAGAGTCCACCTGCCGATGCAGGGGACACGGGTTCGTGCCCCGGTCCGGGAAGATCCCACATGCCGCGGAGCGACTGGGCCCGTGAGCCATGGCCGCTGAGCCTGCGCGTCCGGAGCCTGTGCTCCGCAACGGGAGAGGCCAAAACAGTGAGAGGCCCGCGAACCAAAAAAAAAAAAAAAAAAAAAAAAAAAAAAGAAAGAAAGACATGAAACACTGAGAAATCAATAGGTTTGAGTTAAACAATCACTGAGTATGGTTTTGGACATTTTGAGTTCTATCTGCCTTTTGGAAATCCAGGTAGAGATGCAAAGTAAACAGTTGGATATTCAGACCTGGTACAATCTTTGACAGTTGTCCCAAAATGCACTCTTATAAGCTTTATATATGTGTTTTAGTAAGAAAAAGAAAGTCCTTTGGTGCTTCTCACAGATTCTTGCTAGAAAGTCAGTATGAGCCGTGGCAGCTGACTGAGGGGTAATAACTGGCCATCCCATCTTTTAAATTCAAGTGGTGTATTTGCCTCATGCTTGGGTGCCTGGACACCCTCCTCACTTACAAGGAGGTCTTTCCCAGGTGACTGTCTTTTGCAAGTTGACTTCTCCTATATCAGCCCCTCCCACCCTCCAGGCAGGCCTCATGGGCATGACTGAAACTGGGGCAGGTGGTGTGTGTCCTCAGGCTGAGACCTCGGCTACAAGTGAAACAGCATTTCAGTTATATAAGTTTATATTGGACATCTCTGAATATAGCACTTCTCATCAAGTTTATTCCGTTCTAACTACGGAATCAATGTTAAGCGTGATGTTTGAACTCCAAGCAACATGTGTGTTTAATAACTACAGTTTAAGACATTTCAACAACCAAGCAGAGAGCTAGTATACCAGGAGCGCAGCAGGGAACATGCCGACCCCTGTTCTTCTCCAGGGTGGAAACTGGAGGATGCAGAGTAAATGTGTAGAGATAACTGATTTTGTACATAATTCCCTTCTTTCTACATACGTTATTTGTGGGGTTTGGTAAAAACAAGAGGAGAAAAGCTGAGAACTCAGACCACTGATATTCTATTTATGTATATTCTGGGATTAATATCTCACTCATATCTGACTCATTGTCAAAGTGAGAATTTATTTTCTGTTTTTGATAGCAACATCACCAAACGCTTCTCCCTAGGTTTGTGACCTTTAACAAGACCCTTAATTTTTTGAGAGTCTTTTCTCACCTTTGAAATGAGGGCCCTTGGCTACATTATTTTAGCCTCTCTCCTATGTCTAAAACTCTGTGTGTCTGTGGCTTCCCTCCTGGGCAGAGGCAGTGGAGGCTACTAAGTAATACTGGAATAAATACTAAAATGTACATAAGTCAGTGTGTTCAGGGCCTGACGCCTAGTGGTTGATCAGGATTCTTATTTCCTTCCCCTCCCCTTCCCATGTTTCTATTATTGCTATTATTATTGTTATTGTCATTTTGTCTCTCAGGTGTACCAGTTTGGATTCTGTGGTCCGTTCACAACACACCATCAACATTAGTCCAAGCTTGACCCCCTATTTAATTATTTATCTGTTTCTTTCTTTCTCCATTTTTTGTTTAACTTCCCTAGCCCCTTTAATTCAAGAAATATTTAAAACCTACTACCTACCCAACACCCACTGAGGGGTTGTTTAACACACTACGGAAGAAGCATCCACTTATTTACGAGAATTATTCTGTAGTTTCAGAATCAGAAATAGCAATAAAATAAGGAAATGGTTTATGTGTTTTGTGTAGCTAATACCATTTCCCCCTTTGCTATGATTGTTTGAAAGCTTAGAAGAAAAACAAGTGCCCTCCTCTAGCAAACATATAAAATTTGGCTGCTTGACCTGGTTTAGGAACGTCACCACCAGCTTTTATCAAATGTTTTCCGCTCTTATTTCCCTGGGTCAGCTCCCCATCCCCACACATTATCTTCACTTAGGTGTATTGTTATAGGCTACTTCATATCCTTTCTTTTTTTATATGAGTGGATTTTCATTATTAAATGCTATTTTCATATTTTTTTTAAAACTGCTGATGTTGAGTGACTTAATGGTAAGTACCATGAGATAAGAATCTCTTAGTGATAAAACATTAAAAATACAATGCGAGGCTATTTCATGTGAATTTAAAAGATTAAATTAGATTCACTAAATGTGAGACTGATTTAAATGAATATCAAATAAGAAGATGGTTTCTAACTTTAGTGGTATTATTTAATTTCTTTAGTAGATATTGTGCTATTCTGTGTGTTATTATCTTTATTTCTTCTTGAGTCATTTTTGGTGATTTGTGTCTTTCACAGATTCTTCAGTTTAATCAAGAATATTTAACTTATTGCTTAAAATATTTCTTTTTATTTTTTTTCTTAATGTTCCATTCTATGTTTTTTTAATTTTTATATTGGAGTATAGTTGGTTAACAGTATCGTGTTAGTTTCAGCTGTACAGCATAATGATTCAGCTATACATTTTTATATCCTTTCTTGAATCAAACTGTGTAAATATATAAACAAGCCTGTAGATGGTTGAAGGGATTCATTTGGTTAAACATATTTTCACCTGAGAATGAAGCCTATTCAGTCTAAACTGGAATTAATTTATTTAAATTTTATCTGTTATCTGTTTTTTCCTTGGTCTCTATCTTTTCTGCTTTTGTTAGGGCTGCTGTGCACTTCCCATGCACTTGGTTAATGTATGTGGAATGAATGAGTGAATGAATGAATTGATTCATTGAGATATAGGAGGGGGAAGGGAGTCTAGTGTCCTTAGTTACATAATACATTTGCTCTTTCACCCCAAAAGCTAAGATACAGTTAATTAGGTTACTAATATGTTGGTCAAGTTAGTTTACTGCTATAAATTTTGAAAACTAGTTGATTGGAACAAATTAAAAATACACATATCAATCTGGTTAGTGTGGGGAAGGGGAAAAGATTAAAAAAGGAGGAAAAAATATTCATTTAGGATTGTCTGATTATCACAGTGCACAGGTCTTTTCTCAAGCCTGTTTTGGGGCTGACCATTTTATTTGGTGGCATTTAAATAAGGTTTGTGGTGTGTGACTATATGTTTATGTTACCTTCAAGACCTCTGATAACTTTCAAAAGTGAAAATATTTATTTGGGGAAAACACGCTGATCATAGTAACAATCCTTCTCTCCTGTCACTTTCTCAGTACAGCCACAGAGAATCACAAATTCACAGAGAATCACAATAAAGAAAAATCACTTCAAATATGCCGTTGCAATGAATCTCACATGTAAACACAAAGGCTTCCAGCTGTGGCATCCAATGTGCATCCTACGAAATCGGCTTTGCTAAACACACACACACACACACACACACACACACACACACACACACACACAGCAATAATATGACAAAGAGAACTATCTCCTTACTGAAATTATCTTGCTGAAAAAAAGGAAGAAAGAGGGAAGCAAACGTTAAATGCAAAGCCATTAGTTCCCTCAGGGGCTATATCTGTTTGCTACATTGATGTTGTTTACGATGTCAAAAGCTCTGCAAAGGAGAGCATGCTTCCTGCATGTGTTAAATCAGTAAATTGAGACAATGGCAACCGTGGAGATGAGCCGAATGGGCAAATAATGATAGACTTTGGCAGGTGATACTGTCTGTGCTTGTAGTTCATATAAAATCAGAGGCATACATCTTCAGTGACATCTTTACTTATTCACTAGTATAACTCCCATCTAGATACAGTTTTAGACCTTTTCCAGAAAGTTCTCTCATGCTGACTGCGACTCAATTATTCACACCCCCTAAGGCACCCAGTCTTCTGACTTCTATCAGCAAGGTTGGCTTTTTCTAGCAAGAACACTTACAATGTGATCAGAGGGTGGGCACTGCACCAGAGCTCAACAGCAGGCTGGAGGGGAAGGCCCTCGGGCTGGGGTCCGAGGATAGGCAGCAGGTGCTGGACACTCGTGGTCAGGAGAGCTACCTGTCCAAACCTTGGTGTTCAAAGCCTGGTGGGTGGGCTCCATCTGTCATGGCAAAGGCATACAAGGAGGAGGTGTCCTGGGGAAGGCATGGCATAGTTTGGGCCAAAGACTAAAGATGAAGAAAACATTGGTCTAGGCTGCTAAAAAGCCTGGCTGGCAGAGAATACGGATTCAAATAGAAAACGTATGCCATCCAATGAGGCACTACTGAACTGCAGGCTGAGTTTTCAAACTGCATTTAAGACGGAAGAGGAAGAGATTATGCAACTCAGTGAAACCAAACACCCAGATAAAATGAAAACTGAAAAGCTATTCACAATACATTCCTTGTAAGTAAATGCTACATTTGGTAACTCAAAAAAAAAAAAAAATGCTTCTTGATCAGAGGCTGACACTTTCACCCCAGTGAGGCCCCAAAACCTGAGCGATGACTCATTTCTTGTCTCATAATACTGGTTATTGAAGGATTATGTAGGTCCTTTTGAAGACATAGCCATATCCACATGCAATACTTTGACAATGTTCTGATTATAAACAGCCAAATTAGTCTTCAAATAAGTAGGCTGAGAGTAGAACTTGAGGAATATTAAGTTCCTCCAAATTTTAGCGAAGTCACATGTGATACCTGCTCAGCCCACAGGAACACAGCCAGTGATGGGGGCTGATTTGAGTCCTGGCTTGTCACTTGGGCATTCCCCAGAGTCAGGTCTAAAATTGCTGCTGAGCAAGCAGCCCAGACACACGAGGACAGCTGCTTTCAGGGGTGACCAGTTATCATCTTTCCCATAGAATTAGCCATGCTGGGAGACACTCACCTGCTAAAATTGGTTTACCAGAAATAGAATTCTTTTTATGAAATTCCTCTCTGCAGTGAGGGTTTGAGAATTCACAATCACCAGTTTGCAGGTGACCCACAAGGAGAATCAGATTACATGATCTTTCCCAGGCACCTCTATTTCTAAGAGTCCTTACTTCCTAGTGGCCTCACAGACACTTTTTGATCTTGGTAGAGAGACTCAGAGGCAGTGTGTGTTAGAGAATGCCTCCTTAGCCTAGAGGGGGAAAACAGGATCTTCAAATAGCATCATAATGGCATTTCTTCCTGGTGTTTAATGGCGTTTCAGAGCTTGGCAGGCATGCCACCTAGTGTTCTCATTCAAGAGGCCTGGTCACATTCAAAGAGAAATGAAGGACACCCACAGCGTGGGCAGCAGTGAGGACGGCTGCAGGCCTGTGGAGCTGATGCAGAGGGACGCTGCTGAGCCGTGATCTATGGCACTTTATGTATTTTTTTAATTTGGCAGCTGCCACTGAGATTCAGATGTCCCAATGCAGAGCACTGTCCTTTAATTTGTTTTCTTTATTAAATGTACAGCCGAAGTTCTGTCTTCTTTGTTCTTTCTTGGAATAGTTGGAAGGCACAAAGAGAATGTGTGCCTTGCTTTCAGTTTGCTAAATTATATCAAAGTTTTTTTAAATAATGGTCTGTAAGTAATTTTTTCCTTTTTCTTTGACTAGCAGCTGATGGAAGCAGTACGCTATTTTGAAATATATTTTGAAATAAGAAAAATAAGGTATAGTACACCAGTGCCTCTTAGTATTGCAAGTAGCTTTATTAATTTTCATTATATAAATGATGCAGTTCTCATTATATAACACTTGAAGGATATGGAAAAGTATGAGGCATAAAACATGGATCTAATCATCGCTAACATTTTAGTGACTGTCCCTACTGGAATCTTTGAATCTTTGAATGCATTCATATTCTCACATGCAGATGCATGTTTCTCTCATTTGACAACAATTGATATCAATCCACTCAAAGATATTTTTTATAGTTCTCTGTATTTTTTATAGTTGCATAATAATCTATGCTTTGCTATAATGGTGGCATAATTCTGTAATGCTATAAGCATTTCCCTATTGGTCTATTGATAGTATATATTTCATTTCCAGATGGTGTGTGTGAGGAAGGGAACGAGAGAAAGTGAAACTACTATGATGCAAGGAATAGGAATGTGTGTGTGTGCATGTATTTATGTGTGTGTGTGTGTGTGTGTGTGTGTGTGTGTGTGTGTAATGTGTATCCTTATACTTATATCCTTAAGTTCTGGTATTTTTAAATAGCTGATTCCAAAAAGATGGATCTCTGGGTTGAAGGAGATGTGTATTTTCAATCTGAATAAATGTTGCAAGATTGTGTTAAAAAAAAAAAAAGAAAAAAAGCTTTAACAATGCAAATTTGCCGTATTTGAGTGCACTTATTCCCCTAAAAAAATTTTCATTATTTATGTTCCCAGTCTTATTAACCTAAATGAAATATTCTTATAATTTAATTTTCATTTTATCTGTTTATTGAACATTTAAATATGCTCCTCTGTAGTTTTTTAATGACACCGTAAGTCATATATATGTATGTCTTTATATGGCATAGTAACCTTTTATCTACTATACAGGTTGCATATATATTTTCTAATCTATCAGTTTTTGTTTTCTATTGTTTTTATTTATGGTGTCCTTTGTTAAACTCACTGAAATATTTTTCACATAGTCACATATGTCTATATTTTTTCCTATTTTTGGATAGAAAATTATCCTAAACCTGTATATTTTACAAGCATCTCCTATTTTTTTAATTGACTACATTTAAAACTTTTAGTTGGTCTGAAATTTCTCCTTGCATGTGGTGTGATAAAAGGGCCCGAGTTCATTTCTTTTGAATGGGTGGTTTTCTATGATATTACTATTTATTAAATAATCATTTTTCCCATTGTATAGAAATATTACCTTTGTCATAATAAAGTCTCATATATAAGAGGATTGATTTATAGTCTTTCTGTTACTTGGTATTACCTATGCAAATGCATGGCCCTTCATACTATTTTGAGCACAGAGACTTCATAGTATCTTTTGGTTTGTGAAAAGGCAAGCCTAGCCTCAACTGACTCATCTTGCATACTTTTCTTGGCTTTTCATGGACATTTATTCTTTGGCTTGAGTTTTAATATGATTTGCCCATTCCAACTCCCTCCAAAATAATAGCTGGCCCCTCCCTTGGAATCTTTTCAGTACTTAAAGGCTCTGTCACATACCCCAGGCTCTCTTCGCTGCAGCCGCTCCTCTGCTCAGAAGATAAGAGTTGGATATTTAATTGAGAAGTAACAGTGGCAAAGATGTGTTCTAACTGGCACGTTCCAGGAGGAGCCTTCCTACAACTACTTATAGAATAGTGTAACACCTATAACCTATCTCTACATTTAAAGATTCAGCAGATACCTGTCAGTAAAGGGTGAATGAGAGACAGCACATGCAGCTTGGCTTCTGGAACATCCTTTATTGGGGACAATTCATGGAGCTAGGGCAGCATAGCTGTTTAGTGAGACTGGATATCAGACCCCAGTCCTTGGGGAAGTTATGATTGGAGAAGTGCCAGTTCCTTCCCAGGTATAAGTAAGCAGAGGTGAGGGGCCAGTTTTGCTATTATAGCAGCATGGCACGGTGGACCAGAGGCCTACCACCCTGACCCTTCATCTCCACTCTATCCCAACTGATGAGCTTAAGTCCTAGATGCCCAGTTGCCTTGGGTCTCTGTAAGTCATGGGTTGCCTGTGTGCTGGACTGTACTTGGAAAAAAGCCACCAATCCCAATCCCATTGAATACACCTACATGGAAGTGTTTTCCACAACCATAGACTATGAGGCTAATGTTCCTTAGTTTGATTTTTTTTTTAACCTATGATTGCCAAGGCATTGTTTTACAATAGATACAATGTAATTGTACAACTATATCCTATATTCACACAATACATTTTATAAAGCATCTGCTATGTGCCTTCCTAGTTGCCAGGGCTATAATAGATTTTAAAAAAAAGACAATAAACAAAACCACCTGTTCTCATGGCTTTTAAATTATCACGTGGGGAATATAGAAAATAAACCAAAAGATGTATAATGGATAACAGCAATAAGTGGTTCAGGTAAATGCTTGATAAAAGGAAAGGGAAGGAGTGTGATGGGAGTGCAGCATTAGATAGGGCGGGAGAACTTGGTTATGGGATATGTTTTGAAGTAGAGTGATTAAGATTTGCCCAAGGGCTTGATGTGGGATATGAGAGAAAGAGAGATATAAACATGATGCCAAAGATGCGTAGTTTTGTTATGTATTTAATTACTTACTTTTGCCTGAGTGAGTGGATAGTTGTGTCACTTACTAGGATTAGGAAGACTGGAAGAATAGCAGATTTCTGTGTGTGTGGGGAATTGAAACTGCTATGAATATTTACTTTACAGAAGCCTAATAAATGTTCGGCTGGCTGATACATATGATATAAACTGAGATAAATTTCAATTCATCAGCATGTAGATGGTTTTTAAAGTCATTAGCCTCTATGAGATATTAAACAGGAATCACGGTTAAGTGCTCTCTGTTTGGGACATTTACCATTTGTCTGGTGTCTACATCTCCCTTTGAAAATGCTCTGGTTTATGTAGCCTTGAGAGGCCCTGGCCATCCCCCATTGTGGAATCCGCTGGGCCAGAATTCTTCTCCTCTCAGTGTTGGTACATCCAGGAGCAGGAATGAAACGGGGGTTCTGTTGTTTAAAGGTCACTCCTGGAACTTGAATCTTCAGTGATTGATACGGCAACATGGGGACACTGACGTTTTTTGCCTCTGCAGTGGCGTTGGTAAAGATACCAGACTCCTTCTGAAGCATGACTTTTCCCTTGGTTCGTACTGCCTAGTCTTCTGTGTTCCCTGTTCTCCAGTTTCTCAGAGATTCTCTGGATTCTCAACATCCTTTCACTGTGTTTCCTTTATGCAGCGAGCAATTGGCAGTTGCTTTTCTGGGTATTCAACTCTATTACATAAATAAGTTTGTAGAACATAGGCAAAAACTTTTAGGGGGTTTTAAGCAACTAGAAGACGGAATTCACGGCATGTGTTGAGTACATTATGTGCAGTTAGCAAGTGGAGCATGCATGTGTTCAACATGGAGAGGGGTGGAAGGACCAGGAGATACCCAATATTTATGAGGCATCTGGGTCCTAAATATATGTGAGACAAAAAAATATGAGGCACTAAATATTCAGAAGCACTAA